GTTGCAAAAACTTGGTGACCTGTGAGCATATTGCTATCCTGCTCGCCAGGGCAAATAAAACAAATCCACTTTATACAAAAACATGGGGCCTCGCCATCATGATGGAAACGTGAAAGACATCAAACTATCCTCATTTCAAAACTTACTGGGAAAACATAAAAACACATTGAATTATTTTTAGTAAATGATTTGTATACTAGTGACTGTCAACAGTAAGTTTCGATTAAAAAAAAACAAACAAACTTTCTAAAAAATTTCTCGCCCGCAAGCATGAATACTTCAAACAGGTAGCGGCTACACTTCTCTTTGACAAAAGTGTGATTACCATTGCACTGAAATAATTACAGAAAAGTATAAATGACATAGAATACTGAAGTAAGTGATTAAATAAGCGAATACATTGTTGTGCACTTCAAAGTTAAGAAATTAATAAAATATCCAAAACATTACTTACTTTGAGCTAAATTTCCATGAAAATGTTTCGTACATTGAGAGAAAAGAAAACAATCTCAAATTATGTAGTAACCAGGATTTTTTTATTGCATTTGCAGTTGAAAGAAAAAAACTAATAACAACACACAACTAAATAAATAATAAAAATGAAATGGAAACTGAAGAAAAACATACTAAATTGTCGATAGTAACAACAATAAGAACAAGCTTAATTTTGCCTACTTGGTCCATATTATAGTTAAAGTTATTAATTATTCGATTCATTGAAAAAGAGAGAAGGAGGAGAGACAGCTCCCAATATTTGTTTGTATCTCGACCTGATTACTACAGCACAACTTGAATAGTTAGCCATCAGCCCATAGGAAAGGCGACTGCACCATTTGGACAACGGTGACAGTAATAACAAACTTACGACACTGCTGTTCATCTGAACCATCACCACAGTTATCTCCCCAACGGCAACGTCTCCATTTATCAAGACACTTTCCATTAGCACAAGTGAACTCGTAGTGTGCACACTTTCCTGTATGATAATAAAAACAACTTAAATTCAAAGACAAAATATTTAGCCTGTGTATTTAAGAAAAGGAAAAGAACAAAAAAA